CAGCAGCAAGGTGGAGCCGCCTACGCTGCTGCTTCTGCTGCTGCTGCTGCTGCTGCAGCTGTTCGACTTGTGGGTGGAGGCGGACCGCAGCGAGAGGCGTCTGCAGCGCCAGCTGGAGCAGCAGCAGCAGCAGCAGCAAGACGAGCAGCAGCTGCGGCGGCAGCTTGCTGCTGCTGCCAGCAGCAAAAGCAAATTGCTGCGGGCTTCGCCGCTGTGGCGCATTGGCCGCTTCTTGCTGGACCTTGTGCTGCTGTTTCATTTGCGAAGAGGAGACATGTAATTTAATTAAATTAATTTAATTAATTCAATTAATTTGTTTGATTTAATTAATTTAATTAATTTAATTAATTTAATTTAGTTAATGTAATTAGAAAGAATTAAAAAGAGGCAATTGGCATGGCAAACAAGTAATAAATGAATGCAGCAAAGAAAAGAGTTAAAAGCAGCTATTAATTTATGGCAAATGAAGGGTCATTTCTAATTAATTATTTTAGTTTATTAATTAGTTTAATTAATTATTTGATTATTTATTTAATTATTTAATTGTTCAATTTAGTAAATTGACTAATTAAGTAGCTACTTAGCCATACCACTGGCTAGCTGGCTAGCCGCCCTGGCGGCTAGCCAGCTAGCTACGTTGGCGGCTAGCTAGCTAGCTAGCTAGCTAGCTTGGTGGCTGGGCTAGCTAGCTAGCTAGCTAGCTTGGTGGCTAGGCTAGCTAGCTAGCTAGCTTGGTGGCTAGCTAGCTAGCTAGCTCGGTGGCTAGGCTAGCTAGCTAGCTAGTTTGGTGGCCGGCTAGCAACTGGCTAGCCAGCTAGCTACTGGCTGGCAAACTAGCTAGCTGTCCACGGGCTAGCTAGCCACGGGCTAGCCAGGTAGCTAGCTATCCAGCCACCGGCTAGCCAGCCACCAGCCAGCCAGCCAGCTAGCTGCGGGGCCACCTGCTGCTGCTGCTGCTGCTGCTACCGCCACTGCTACTGCTGCTGCTGCTGCTACCGCCACTGCTGCTGCTGCTGCTGCTGCTGCTGCTGCTGCTGCTGCAGGCTGGACTACGTGGAGCTGGGGCTTGGGGAAGAGACGGAGTGGCGGCTGGAGCCCGCGAGAGACATGTCTTTGTTTGTGTTGAGTTTGCTGCGAGCAGCAGCAGCAAAAAGATTTGGAAAGGAGACAGAAGTTCGCCTGTCTTTGCCTTTTCTCAAGGCCCTCATCCTCGCCCTCAAGTCCCAAACCCTAAACCCTAAACCCTAAACCCTCGCCCCGCCTCCGCCGCCACCAGCAGCTCCTGCTGCTGCGCTGCTGCTGCTACTGCGCTGCTGCTGCTGCCCCCACGGCTATTGCTGCTGCTGCTGCGCACCTGCTGTCCTTACTGCTGCTGCTACTGCCACTGCTACCGCTGCTGCTGCTGCTGCGGCCGTTACTACTGCTGCTGCTACTGCTGCTGCTGCTGCTGCTGCTGCTGCTGCAGGTCGGCCCACGGCATAGAGGACTTGTGCGAGCGGCGGCGGCGGCGGGCGCGGCCAAAAACGTTTGCGACAAGTTTGTGCAGAGCAGCAGCAGCAGCAGCAGGAGCAGCAGCAGCAGCAGCAGGGGGCGATGCAGCAGCAGCAGCAGCAGAAGCAGCAGCAGCAGCAGATGGCTGGTGGGAAGACAGCGACGAAGAGGAGGAGGCGGAAGCAGACAAGGGCCCTGAGGTGTCCGTACACCCCACGGAGCCAGGACCCCACACAGAGGGACTCAAAAAATAATTTATTTATTATTTAAAGTTTGAAAAGAAATAAATGTTTTTTAAAGTCCTTTAAATCGGGAAAAGGGCCCTTTTGAAACTTCTACTTCTTCGAAACTTCATCATTTTTCTTTTATTTTCTTTTTATCTTTTTTTTCAAGAAAAAACCATTTAAAATGCCTTTCCACTTCTCCCGGCGCATGCAAAAGCCCCAAATATTTCCAACTTCCTCAAAAGGCTTTTTTCGCAATTGCATTTAATGCAATTAATTCATCTAATGCAATTAATGCATTTAATTCATCAAATGAATTTAATGCATTTACTTCATCTAATGCAATTAATTCATTTAATGCATTTAATTCAGTTAATGCATTTAATTCATTTAATGCAATTAATTCATTTAATGCAACTAAATGCATTAAACGAATTTAATGCAATTAATTCATTTAATGCAATTAATTCATTTAATGCAATTAATTCATTTAATGCAATTAATTCATTAAAGGAATTTAATGCATTTAATGCATTATATTAATTAAATGCATTTAATGCATTAAATTAGTTAAATGCACTTAATGCATGAAATGAATTAAATGCACTCAATGCATTTGATGCATTAAATGCATTTACTTCATTTCATGAACTTGATTCATTTAATGCATTAATTGCATTTGATATAATTAATGCAATTAATGCAACTAATGCATTTAATGCAATTAATGCATTAATGCATTCAATGCAATTAATGCATTTAATGCAATTAATGCATTCAATGCATTTAATGCATTTAATGCAATTAATGCATTAAATGCATCCAATTAATTAAATGCATTGAATTCATTGAATGCAATAAATACGTTAATTGTTATCAATTCACTTAATGTATTAAATGGCTTAAATGCATTTGATGCATTTAACGCATTTAATGCATTTAATGCATTTAATGCATTTCGTGCATTCAGTGCATTAATAACCGTTAATTCATCAAATGCATTTATTGCATTTAATGCATTAAGGCATTTAATGCCTCTCGAGCTTCTCTGTTTTCGCATGCATGCACTTCTTTGGGGCTTTTTCCCTTAATAAATTAAATGTCTTTTTGGCATTTTGAGCTGACAAAGGTCTGCCAGAAAACATCTGCGAATCTAATTGCAATATTTACGCGATTAGAGTGTACAGACACTCCGAAATGCATGCATTTTGGACATTAAAATGCCATTTTTGCATGCGCTCCAGTGTACGTACACCTCGCACATTTAGCGCGGATCTCCGCGTATCTATTCATACTTTCAGGTGTACGTACACCGCGCATGCAAATCTTTTGCATGCAATACACTCCTTTTCATGCAAAGTACTTTTATATTCTTTAAAGCCAAGTGAAGTCACAACGTCCATTATACAAACATTAGCCGTAAATAAATATTATACTATCTTTACATTTATACTAAATATACATACATATATATACCTATATATATATATATACAAATATGTATACATTTATATATATATGCATATATATGTATACACTCATGTGTGGATGTGCACATATGCAATAGATACGAAAATATGTTGCATTCAAATATACTAAAAACAAATATACGCATATACATATATATAGAGAGATAATATAAATAACTATATTTATATTTGTGCATGCATGCATGCAAATTACTGTTTCTTCGTTGTGTACATACACTCGAGGCCCAGACGGAGAAAGTGTAGATGTGTCTTCGCAGCAAAGAGAGACAAGAAAAGGAAAGAAAAAAGCGAACAATTCAGCAAGTAAATTCGAAAATAAATGAATTAATCAATTAACTCAAATAATGTCCAAAAATTAATCAATTAATTCAAATAATGTCCAATTAATTGGCAGCTACACCCCAAGCACTCTTGAGCGCCTGCGTTCGTTGGGGTGTATAGACAGAGCGAGTGGTGGAAGTTTGAGTTCTTTTTTATCATTTTATTTATTTATTATTTATTACTTTAATTATTTCATTTAATAGGATTTAAACAACTATATTATGCTGCTTTTCCTAGCTGGGGGGCCCCGGGTGGTGGGGGGCCCAGGGGCCTGGGAAGCATCTGCTTTGGCTGGGGCTTGCAATCTGCGCCGCTGGCCCTTTAAATGGTCAAATAAATAAAATGATAAATAAATAATAAATAAGTAAACAAATAAATTCGAAAAGTTTGCAAAGATTGCGTTGGAGGGGGCTAGGAGAGTGCCTGCAACGCCTCCCTCTCGCCTGCTGCTGCTGCTGCTGCTGCTGCAGCAAAAACGACTTGCGGCTGCATTCTGGGCCCAGCGGGTTCGTTGCAGCTGCCGCTTTCAGCGCTTGAACTGCAGCTCGCTCTTCGAGCCTTGAGAAGCAGCAAAAGGCGAAAAAGGAATGGGGAAGGAAACAAAAGGATCCAAAAATAGCCTTTTAGCAGCAACAGCAAAGAGTGTACATCGGCAGAATGGCCGAGTGGTCTAAGGCGCTGCGTTAAGGCCGCAGTCCGAAAGGGCGTGGGTTCGAACCCCACTTCTGTCACTTTTGCGACTTTAATTATTATTTATTTATCATTTATTATTAATTAATTATTTAATTACTACTTATATTTATTCATTCATTTATTTATTTATTTATTTGCTTTTATTCATTTGCCACTTTTTGGCTTTGAACGGCTGCAGCAGCTGCAGCAGCTGCCTAATCATCCCAAAGGGGATTAGCAGCAGCAGCAGCAAAGAGACACAAAAAAAGAAACAAAAGAAAAGCAGCAGCAGCAAAAGCAGCAAACAAACAAACTCCCCCAAACCCATAACCCCAAACCCTAAACCCCAAACCCTAAACCCTAAAAGGGAGACAAAGCAGAAGCCGCGTGTCTCTACAAGCTGCGAAAACACAATTCGCAAACATGGTTCGTCTGCAGCCTATTAAACAGCAGCAGCAGCAGCAACAGCAGCTGCTGCTGCTGCAGCAGCAACAACAGCAACATCAGTAGCAACAGCAGCAGCAGCAGCAACAGCAACAGTAGCAGCAATATTCGTACATTGTTTATTACCTTTCCTTAAGCCCAAACTTACATCAATGTGTTCATAATTATAATTATATTTGTAATTGCATTTATATTTTTTTTTAATTTTAATTTTAATTTTTATTTTTATTTTTACTTTTAACTTTATATCTCCTTTCCTCTGCTGCCCGCCCAACTTACTGTATATACACTGCATTTTTAGCCTAGCGGCAGCCCTTATATTTTTTCCTGCTGATGCTGCTGCTGCTGCTGCTGTTGC